AAGCGCTCTCCCCTCCTGCCCGGACCTGCCGCATGCTTATCAGCACGCGACCAACCCGGCTCCCACCGCTCACTTCCGCGAGAGTCCGCAACGCCTCGCCGAGCGCGTCTCGGAAGACTTTCCCTTGGTGGGCGTTAACGGAGCTCGAACCAAATTAAAAGCCGTTTCCAGCCTACTGTCTGCTGACAGCTTCCAACTCGGGAAAACCGATGATGCATTTTCTGGCTGTTCGAAAGCATTTTAAAGCATAAAGTAAATGGCAAACTTTTTGAGAGCTCCCTCCATACTTCACCCAGCCATCAAGTACGAGGGCATCACACACCACCACCTCTCTCCACGCAATTCTCCAACTGCAGCAGGAGCCCAGATAATACAGCAGAAACCTCTCAAGGTCTCCTGCTTTACAAGAGGTCGGGCAACTTCCCAGCTGGGACAAACGATCCCTGCAAGTCTTGCCAGCACGTGACCCCGCACGGTCGGCTTTCCATAATCCCCTGCACAACTCCCACTCCCAGGGCTTAGCAAACTTCCTTCTACGGCCTCTGCACTGACTCGGACTGAAACTTTTCCTCTCTCCCCGACTCAGCCTGTTGGTTTTGTTTTTAATTCCCAGAGCAGTGTAGAGCAGTTCGATTGTTGCAGACATTTCTTCCAAAATTTTTTTTTCCCCCCCGGTGGAGAAAGGCTCACACTGATCATTTCCCCAGAAGTATGTTTTCACATCTCATGTGAACCGAGAACTGGTCTTATAAGGCAATTGGCCCACACCCAGAAGAGGCCCGTCCCAGCTTGATTTCGTCCTCTCTCGCTGCAGGAGAGACCTGCGACTTAAATCCGCGTCGCCCAGCCCCAACCGACCGCGGCCAGGCTCGGCACCTGGCAGCTCTGCCGATGCCCTTCGCCTCCCACCCCTTCCCCGCTTGCTGCGGAGGATCCCAGGGAACTTCTGCCAGCCGAGCAATACAGCCACCTTCCGGGGGAAAACCGCAAGGCCGATCAGCACCGCGGGCAGCCGTGCATCAAAAACATAAGCGAAAATCAGAGGGGCGCGCGCTGAAAGCGGCAAGGGGGGCAAGGGGCGAGTCCATGCACAGGAAAGCGCCGACTTCTCAACCGCGTGCAAGTTAGCGTCTTTTAAAGAACGTGTCCCTTGTGTCACTTCCAAAACGCTCACTGGTTTGTTAAACGCAGGGGTACGTCCAGGGCCCTTCTCGGGGCGCAGTTACAAT